CCTGTTAACCTGTCTTGTAATTGAACCTCCTATTTTTATATATTATATATATTTTATACCTCCTTTGTGAATAAACTACATAAAAATTATATCACCTAATATTAAGTTACAAAGCTACTTCTCTAACTGTCACAGTACCACACGTCTCTAGAGTTTTGCACTACTGCTCATCAAAATGGTTGATAGATTTTAAGCTTTTGGTGTCAAGAAATATCAAGTGACTTGTGATTTGACTAAGTCAGTAACACACAACCCTGTAACCTGAAAAACACACAGAAGAGACTCAGGATAAGATAAGCAATGCTATGCTGTATTTAGGGAAGAGACCCCATTTTGGAAGATACATTTATTACATACATAGCACCACACTTGGGGATCATGTTGCTATTTTGTTTGCTTGTTTAAAAAAAGGCCAATAACAGGAAATACATACAGGAAAAGCATATGAAAATAAGAGAGAATACAGTACTTTTAAACAATGCCAAGAACCCTAGAAAGCAAGCCCAACAATGTAATGCATAAAGCTCATAATTTTAAAGTAAAATGAGAGGCAGAGATTGTAGTGAGAAAAATGGTTTTCTTGATTCAGTTTACTAAAGATACCAAATAGTTATTAGTGCTACATCGATGCTATTCACCAAGGGACAAATGGTCCTGGCTAGCTAAAAGATAGACCTCAGTGAGGGATAAGAGAAGATACATATTCAGCATATTTTGGTGGGCCTACTGGGGAGTGGGAAGTAGAAGATGAGTAAGCTTGCACATTCCTGCTTCCTCATATTCTACCTGTTCTGTGGATACAAGGAGGATTCTAGTTTCTGGGGCTGTCAATCTGATACATAGAATAAAATTTTATATGTACTTAAAAATATATTAGTAGAATTAAAAAAATGTTTAATGTTAATATTTCACATCCCGGAAGATTTTATTGAGTTTTGACATATCACCCTAACTTCTTCTATTGTAACTGGAGACTCTCTAAAGCGTATATGTATCATAGAACAAAGAAAACAATTAGTAATATCCCCATTGTATTGTAAAAACAAAAACAAAATGTCCTTGATGAATTGTCCTATCTCAAAAAATGAAGAGTGAATTTGTTTTGAAAACGTGTTTTTTAGAAAACACTAAAAATTTGATATTAGTGTTTATTGGAAAAATAAATAAACTATTTGTTGATTTGAAGTGTAGGCTACAAATTCACTGGATACTAAAGGACTGAAAGCTAAATAAAGTTGTGACAAACAGAACTGATGAAAAAGGAAGTGCTTTATAAAATGCAAATTACTGCCATAGATAAGAGTCGCTTCCAGTCATACCTACCAGTTACAGTGCATAAAAGCTTTTGTTCCCCCACCTTTTTTTTAAAAAACGTCTTTCAGTTAAACTGATTGTGTGGCATTAAAGCATATCCAAATGAATATGCTAAAGTGTTCTTTTGTGTTTCTTAAATGCACACCAAATAAAGGCAATTTTATTGTGTAAACATGCAAAGACAAAACTAAAATTTAACGATTTTTAAAGTAGCAATTGCATATGATAATACTGTTTGTATAAAAGAGGATGCAGTGACAAGTGAACCAAAACAGTGTTTTCTCTTTGACCACTATGAGTCTAACTGTAGTTTATAATGATAGTGTTATATCTATGTTTCACAGATGTTAAATTTAATGTAAATTTATTCCAGTAGCCTTCAATTATTTCCCTGTTTCCTAGAATATCTGATTCTTTACCTTTTCAGTGCTATTTAAAATGCTTCACTGGTTTTGCATTTTCACATCATTGCTTGTTCTGTTAAAATCTTTTCAAATACCATGTTACCAACGCTAAAAATTTCATTTGCTAACACACGTATTAGTAATTTTTCCCTTTTAAGTGTTAATGTCGACTTTAACAACAATCAAGTCTCAGCAAATCTCAACTCACATTTCACAACTCTGAGATTCACTGTCAATACGAGTGTGATTGGAACTGGATAAGCAGTTAATGCTATGCTATTGTTCTGTGGCAAATATGTGAAGCTCTGTTAGAAGATACTTGTCTTTTATCCCTGTCTCAAGAATTAAGACACTTGAAAAACCTTATGATGGCACTAAAGTTTTGCATACAAGTTCATACCCTGTCATGAAGATTCTCCCAGCAATCTAATCAAGATGACTTGAGATGGGGGTCACAAACACATTGTCTGGGTATACCGCAAGAAGGACTTGTTATGGTTTTAATCAGGCTGCAACTTTATTATAGAGATGTCTGGGACTACTCGGCAGATCAAGTGTACAGTGCAGGCAAATCCATGCTTATTTAAATCAATTCTCGGTGGCTTCCACCAGCCCCCCCTTTGTTTCCATCCAGGTCCCCCAGCCGACCCATGGCTTGGACCTTACCATTCATCAGCCTTGCAAGAGGCTTAAGGAGGGCTATGAGGAAC